ACAAATTATTGATACAATTTTAGATGCAATTGAAAATGTCAGTGTATTTTCAAAGGAGATTCTTGAAAAGTTTGATAAAATTGGTATTGAATCTCAATAAATCTTTATTTTTTTTGGTTTTATTATAATGTATTAAGTTATGTTAATAAGCCACATCGAATTAAAATTAGATATTAGTGAATTCTATGATAAGACTGAGGTATTTGATTTTTTTTGTAAGGAAATATTCAAACATATCTATCTGCCTAACAATATATATGTCATTATTAAGAATTTATTGATATAAATCATCATCTTGCCAATGGACACTGTTCACATGATAAAATATGTGAAATCACAGCAGATTATAAATTACACTCAAAACTTACTGGAACCAGAGGTGGTGGATGTGCATTGACATTGATAAGAGAGGGTAAATATTTATATTATTTATTATAATTATAATTATTAACAGATTTATATACATTTACATGTTAGATATTAATGAGTAAAGTGATAATTTCGTTAGAATCAATTGAATACAAGTGTTATATATCAAATGTTTGTGGGTCTGGTGTATGAGTGACTGGTGTGACAAGTATGATTAATCTAAAGGAACTTTTAGGATCTAAAATTTGTCCAACTATTGGTTGGAGATATTTTAATTAAAAACTATATACACTTCCTGGACAAAAGTATAGGGACAATCAATTAAATTTAAATTAGAGAATCGGCTAGTGAAATAGGAACATCCGAAAATTATACAATAAAAACCATTGAAATAACATTTTTAGATCCTTCATTGTCAAAAATCCACTTGTTAGAAAATTCATTGGTTCGATACGCATAATAACAATCAAGTCTTGCACATCATTTTGATTTAAGAAATTTAATCTTTTATATTCGTTTATGACATTGACATCTACTCTCAAGCAGTCAAATCAAAGATAAAATATCCAATGACTTCCAGGAAGAAGTTCGACTCATTCCCACGTAGATTTATCCTGGCATAAACATATTATGATCTATAGTTAATTGTAGTGTTAGGACCTAAGCCTATGCACCGTAAGAGTAAAACGGAAATTGATACCTCAACGCTGGTATGCCATTAAATGTTAAAACTTACAACATTTTTCTACAAGTTGACCGGAAGCAAACTGAAATTTGTCCACAATAGACATTAGCCTGTTTTTTTTTCTATTATATGGATCATAGTTATTCACTCTGAATGCTTTGTAATTGACCTCCACATATTTCTGGACTTCACGAGGCATACAGCCATCCCAGTCACTGTACGTGTTTCGCTAACCGACTTTATGAACATAATTGATGATAAGATGTATTTTTTTTTTTGTTATACTAGACAAAAAGCAAGCGAATAAAAAATGTTTGAGGCGAATTTGGATTTTTTATTTACCTTTTCGAATAATAAAGAATTATTAAGTTGTTTATTATCGAATAATCAAGTTGGTGAATACTAGACAAAGTGAATGAGTAAAAATGTTCTAGAGGTGAATTGGGGATTTTTTTTCGAACAATCAAAGAAATTTTATTATTAATATTAAAGCTGTTTATTGTCGAATAATCAAATTCAAAATTATTAATACTAGATAAAAAGCAAGCGAGCAAAAAATATTCAAGAGGCAAATTGGTTTGTTTATTCATTCATCAATCTCAGACGATTAGAATTTTTTTTCATACAGAAGAATAAGCTTTACAAATTTCGACTGTTAAAAAAATAACCAAGATTTTTTCTTCCTAATTAAAAAACAAGATCCTTCGCAAAGAAGAATCTTCGTGATAATGATTGTTATTTACGAATTTCAATCGTTAAAAAAATCAACCAAGCTTTTTTTCCTTAATTAAAAAAAAAAAGCTTCTTTTTCTCATTTATCCCAGATCAAAAATCAATCGGAGGGTTTCAAGTCTAGAAGAAAGGTTATTTACAATTTCGATTTTTTTAAAAATCAATGGATTTTTATTTGTTTTCTCCCAAGGAAATTTTTCATTAATATTAACCAACGGATTTTATTTGTTTCTCCGAAATAATAATAATAATAATATGGTGATGACAATGACTGCGTCAGAGTCCGAAATAATAATAAGTTAGCAACTTCAGTATCAATTTTATGCTTTTTCCTACCAAACAAACCGTTAGAAATTTTCTCTTTGATTTTTGTTTTACTTTTAGAAACATGACCCATTAATAAAACCGCGTTTTCAAAAATATTATCACGCGATTTTACCGACAAATTAATAAATTGACCAATAAAAAGAGAGTCCGACCTTTTAAATTTTACTATATAATATATAACTGAGACTCGATAACGAAAAAAGTAAACCAATAAAAGTTAAAGGAAATAGCGCCAGTTCTGAATTGCCTGGCTATTGTTATCGGTGTGACTCATTTATGACTGACATTGAAGATTCTTCTACTTTTATGTTGACCCAATCAGAATGTACGCACATGTAGGCAGTGTTGGCAAATCTGTCCAAATACCCCTTGTCCGATTGTCCAATTTGTGTCCAATTTACTGTATTAGGTAATTTGGACTAATAGTTACTGCGGCATTTGGACAATTGGACAGGACAAATCCAAATAAAATTTAATTGGACACCTAAAAATGCCAACCCTGCTGATCATTACTCTATTTAAAGAATATTTTCATGATATAAAGAAGTGTCACGTGATAGTCATGACTTGTGAAATTCCACTAAAACAGATTCGGGAACTCTTCTATGAAGTGATACTTTTTAACTGCAAAAATAGCAGCTTTACCAGAAAGTCCCATCTTATAGGCACTCATAACCTATAACATCTTCTTGCAAATTTATGAATTTTACAGAGAGAAATAGGATTAAGAGCCAGTGACACAGTTTGTTGTAAACCTTCCCAAGATTCTAATTCTGTAGTTAAGATAAATCTCTCCAGTCATCATCAGATTCAATGTATTGACAGATCAACTCTTTGATTTCTAATCCAGGTTCATTTACATCTAATTCATTCAAAATGTTTGTGTCAATCTGAATTCATTTTCAAACACCTCCTTATCAATATATTCATCTATAATGGGTTTAATATTTTTTTAGTTTCACAAGCCTTTTATAAATGCTGATTTCTTTTATTCTGTTTAGGCATTTTAACAAAAAAAAGAAATAGATTTGAGTTAAAAACTGGTTCCATAAAAGGAATGATTTTCGTATAAAAATTTTACCATTTGGCGCAGCATTGATGTGTTTAGATGATCGGCACCATAGTCCAAATTACAGTCAGGTATTTTACTCAATATGGAATCGATTCTGGAAAAATTTGACCCCCTCATTGATCAATTCATATATGTTGCAAATGAGTTTATGTGATGCTTCCATAATATGTAAACAAAAAAAAATTTTAAATTATAATAATTGAAATAAATGCTATTCAATTTTTTCTTTTGTAATCACTCAATAATCACTAATAATCAGTCAAATTGTTCAAAGTGTGTTATTTTTAAAATCAAAGAAAGTTATGCACTAGGAATTTGTTTTTTAAAATATATTTTTAATTTTTTTGGATAAAACACAAAAACTAACTGTTAACACCTTATACTGTTTATTTGCCACATTTACTCAACAATATTCTAAAAGCTGGGTCACTGGGTCCAAGATTTCAAAAAATAAATGAGTTAAAAAAGGGAATTTTGTTAAAAACCTTGTAACTTTATACAAAAATTCTTTTTAATAATACTATCGGAATAATAGATAAAATAAACTGGTAGAGAGAAGCCTTTGCTGATTGCAGGGAAAATTCAGGATTTTAATTATTAAGTCATACCTCAAGAGGATGCCTTTGGAATATACCAGCTACACCAATAGAAAAGGATCTTTGTCCAGACTTAGGGTTGTATGACAAAAGAGTTTTTGGTTATAAATTTGGAAAACTAGACATGTGCCATAGGGAAGCTATCCAGACTTAGGGTTGTAAGATAACAAATCGACTATAAATTGGAGGTTCTAGGAAAATCAGACATGTGTTGATATTAAAACTTGCCTAATAACTAGGTAACTCAGATTGACACTCGCAATATAAATCAACACTCTCTATAACAAATTCACGTGATCTAAAATTGCAGATCTCTACGATTTCAAAAATAAAAACTTTGATTATTTAAATCTTAATAAATAAATAATGATGATCTAATGTACTAAAGTATATAAAAACAATAAAATGTATAAATTAAATTTCTTGATTTAAATCTACCTAATTCAAGTTCTAAATTAAATTATTTTGTTTCATTATTTTTCAATTGAATGCCAAATTTGTGCTCAAGCTTGGTGATTTAAACTCCGACATGAGTTTTGTATGTAATATAAATAACTGTTTTCAATTGGATTATTCAGTTTTTTAGACCAAGGTCCTGGTTTGTGGTTTTATTTAAATCCGATTTTACAGTTTTATTTAAATTCAGTTTAAAATTGGGCCGGCAAAATATTTAATTACAAATTTATTAGAAAGGTGAATTGGTTATTTCGGAATTGAAAGTTAATTATTATCATTATGAAATAAGGAAATAAATATTCAATCCTGAAATTTTTTTATAATAATATTATATTAAACAGATTATGAAAAATACCAACAAGCACATAGAAAAGATTAATCAAAATTCTATTTGTTCACCAACATCATAATGATTATTATTATAAGCAGAACTTGGTAAAGGTGGTAGGACTGTTCTTCGAAAATTTTCATATTTTTTTTCATATTCTGTTTCTACAAATTCTCTAACTATTTCATATCTAGGATCAGGTACAAGTCTCATATCAATATCAGCACTATAAAGTAATGTTTCTAGTTTTTTCATCTTTCTATTGATGGCTTTTTGAAACCTATAATTAGGATCTGTCGGTTCAAGTTTTATATTAAGTGTATCATCATGTAATATTGAATCCAAATTTTTCCTGGGTATTTTTTCTTGATTTTTTTTTGTCATATAATTAGTTAATTAGTAAAAATTATATATACATATGTATAAAATTAATTATTAGATGAATGATTTATTATTATTAGTGATTGGATAAATAAATAATCAATAATTAATAAAATATATATCTACCTCTTAATCTTCTTTTTCTCCTTTCCTCTTCTCTTTGTTGTTCTTCCATTTCCTCTAAATAACTTCTTTTTTTAACAGCAATTCTACCAGTTTCTAAAATTGGCAATGTCTTATTAAATATATCAATTGATTTGAGATTTTTTCCTTCTTGTTGTTTTATTGATGACAATGATGATTCTTTTTGTAAAGGTGATGATGATTCAGATTTTTCTAACAAAAATGTAGAATTCCTCAATTCTTTCTTGATTTTAACCATTTCATCAACTTCCTGATGTGTAAGATTATGTTCATTTGCATCTTTTATCTGTAACTGTTTCTTTTGAATATCTTCAAAAGAAGGCATTCGTAACTTGGCAACTTTCATTGTTATTCGCCAACGATCAAATTCACCCTAAATGAACAAATGGATGAATGGTTTAATTAAATAAATAATTATATATAATTATATATGACAAAACTTTTTAATTCTATACTTGATCAAAATAATTATTTGAAATATTTTGAATATTGAATTGTTTTACTGCTTCTGCATGTTTTAATAGAAAAACTTTATTAGTAATAGATTTCTCAATAAAATATGGTGTTGATACTTCTTCGACTCCTATAAAATACATTTACATGTATATTATTGTTAATGTGAACATTGATAAAAAATGAGGTTACACTTTTTGTAATAAAATAATGATTGTGAGTTTTATACTGCTTACCAATTACTTCACAAATGCGATAAATTTGTCTTCCATCTTTATTTCCTATATTTAACCTTACAAAACTTCCTATAACAGTCTTGACAAAATATTGAGTAAACATCCATTTAGCAACTTGAGAACGTGTGATCTGGATTTTCCTTAAATCTTCTATTTTAATATCCTAAATGATTTGATGTGAATGAGAATGAGAATGGGAATGACCTTGAAAAAATATTATGATTATATTATTTATTTACATCATTGTGAGATTTATCATTTGAATCATCACTTGAAAGAGCATCATTTTCACTTTCATCATCATCATCATCATCATCATCATCATCATCATTGTCATCCTGTGAAATATGTTCTCCTGGTTCTGGACTTTCAGATCCCTATAAATAAATATTAAACAAATACAACTTAATAACAATAATAATTGATTCAAATTACTATTTATTTACTATGATATTCACAATTTGTCTCATTTTCCCTTTTTCTGCACGTCTTCTTTTCAATTCCACCAAATCTGCTTTTTGTAAATCTTTCTTTTTTCTTGATGATCCTATCATCAATAAGTAAATAAATATTTGATGAATAATATATATATATATATATATTGATAATATAAAAACATACTTCTTTTTGAACTACCAGCTTCTTCTTCAATTACATCATCTTCATCATATAAATTTTTTATAACATTTAAATCCATATTATGTTGTCTCTAAAATCAATCAATTAAATAAATAACTATTTTTATCTTGATGTGTATGAATCATAAATCAAATAAATATACTTTTTCAGCTCTTGATGCAAGAATTTGTTCTCTTTCTAACTCTGGTAAATTTTCTAACCTAAACAAATAGTTTATTAATTTGTCAATTAAATATTAGTGAAAATGATGTATATAGTATAATTACTAGCTACAGATACCTTTCTCTGTCAACATCATCATGATATAAATCTGGTCCAAATGATTCAGATTTATTATTATTAGCATCACCATCCTCTTCGGAATAATTACCACGACGAGATCTAGATGTATATAATAATAAGTATTACAAAATGCATGTGGACGACTTTTCAACAATGCACACATCTATCTGCTACACACAATACTTTTTTTCTTTTAGTTTTTACTCTTTTTTCTGATCTACTAGAAGTAGAAGTAGAGGTAGCAGCTTCAGTTGAAGTTTTTCCTTCACCTCCAATAAGTTCAAGAATTTCATTTTCTAAATCACTCATTTTGATCTTTTTTTTTTTTGAACAAAATTAGGATAATGGTGTCACATGTCAAATATTAAAATTTGATTCTATCTATAGTCATTTGGGGTTTAGCGGATAAAATTTCAAAAACCAAATTTTTCTATAATAATAATAACAATAATTATTATTGTTATTACGGATTTAACGGATTTTTCGTATTTTAATAATAATAATGATAATAAGTTCGATTTACCAGATATTTTTTAAAATCCATATTAATATATGGGACATGTCACAGCAAAAACCACCTCTGAGACTTGTAGATCATTTTGCGGTATCACCTTATTCAACTACGTTACACACTATTTAAACATATAAAAAAGAAATTCTTTGTCACCCAGTTCTCTTTTTTTTATTATGTAAATAGGGTTTAATATTTTCACCAATTATAATACTTATGTTATAGTTTATTATTATGCAAAAAAATCAATTTTGGTTAGAAAGTCCCAGAGGTGGTTTTTGCTGTGACATGTCCCATATGTCACAAGAAATCCACTATGGCGATGATCATGATCGACAAAATTTTTTTTTTAGTCAAACCTCGCCACAGCTTCCAGCCAAAAAAAATACGCTACGACAAGAAATCCCACTGTGGAAAAATCTAAAAATACAGAAATAAATGAATACATGCGGAAATTAAAATTATTTGTTGTAATATTTGGTTGTATTAGTTTTTCCATTTTTCTTTTCAATGATTTAAATGCTTTAAATCTAATTGACTTTACTATCAATCGTTGGTTTATTTTAGAAACTTAGAAAATTTTATTACTTGCACACATTCGGATAAATAATTTATTTTAGAAAGTTTGTTACTCATAAACCTTTGGATAAAATTGTTTGTTTTTATTGCTTTATTTTAATACTGACCTTTGATTAAAAATAATCTATTGATTATTTATTTTATCAATGTTGGTAATTTGTATAAAATTTCATAATTTACATGTCACGTGAATCCGCTGTAGAAAGACCCATCCCCATCAAAAATCCGTTAACGTTGTGGAATAAATTTATTAATATGACAATATTTAAATCCGCTGCGGCGAGTTCCGCTGTGACGAGGTTTGACTGTACATAATTATCACCATTTTCCCTCTTTAAAGACGTAATTACGAAATTAATTACGTATTACAGGCGACGAAATTAATTACGGGTGGAGTTTGGATCCGGGGGAGGAGCAAAAAGTTAAACCAAAGAAGACACTATTGTTGTTGTTTTTGACGAGGCCCAATTTAATGATGCGGGCTATCAGTCTCTCCAATTCGAAATGATTAAGGCAGGTTATAATTGTTTAATAATGTCAGCTACTTTTCCAGGTGCTGACTTCCTCTTATTCAATGAAAAGAGTATTCGGTGGCAAATTGGATCCTACCGTGCCAGCCGGTTTAAAATCTTTTTCACTTTTTTTACATTGATAAGATGATACTTGGTCTTTTTAATAAGATCTTCCTAAATAAACCGTGCTTTTGGCCAATAGTTCACAAAACAAGCACTTTTTTGAACCAAGTATTTTTTTTCTTTTCTGAAAGGTCTAACTCTTTAATACACCTAATGCTATAAGCCGGTCCTGTTAAAATTAAAATGAATGAATACCCACCTACCCAACTGTCAGTTATCTTTCCAAATTTGGAAATCAAAATTGGAGTGATACATGTACCTTTGTACTTTTGAAGAAAAAATTTCCTATTATAATAATTGTAATAATATTATGCACATTCAGATTTCAATTTCACATAATTTCGATTTCAAATTGAGGACTTGATATTAATTATTAGTATTAAAATGCGTTCAAAAAACCCTAAAAATCTTTCACTATCTTTACATAATTCAGATATAATATCTGAAGTAGAAAATCAACAGCAACAAACATTTAATAAAAATAAAAAATTTAAACAACTTTTAATATTAGGAGGTTTTTTATTAATAATGATAACAATAATAAATATTTATTATTTTTATATTTCAAATTTACAACAGCAAGAAAATTATAATTATAATAATGAGATTAATGATATTTATTCATTTAATTTAATTTTACCAAATCCTCCAAAACCTGAATTAAAAGATTTAATTATAATACCAGGTCATTCAATTTATCTAGGAGGAAGAGTTAGTAATGGCAATATCAAAGATGATTTAGAAGATTTGGACAATTGGATTTTAGAAGATTATCAAAGAAATATTGATCATGTTAAAACTTTTATGAAACACATTGAAAGAGGATTGGAATTGCTTGGTAAAAATAATGAATCTTTGCTAATTTTTAGTGGGTAAATGTTTAATACATTAGCAAATTGTTTTATATGCATATATATAATTTATCTTTATATAGTAAATAAATCATTATAAATATATTATTTAATAAGTGGTCAAACAAGGTTTACAGCAGGTCCAAAGACAGAATCACAAAGTTATTGGGTAAAAATTTAGGAAATGAAAAAATATTATTATTGTTATTATTATTATTGTTGTTGTTATTTAACAATTGATTTTATTTATTGGTTTAGGAAATTGCTAGAATAATTTACAAAAATAATAATTTCAATAATGATGATGATAATTATTATTATTCATTATTTTCTCGGATTACAACTGAGGAATATGCAAAAGATTCATATGAAAATTTAATATTTTCTATATGTAGATTTTATGAATTCACAGGAAATTATCCAAATAAAATTACAATAATAGGATTTAAATTTAAATCTACAAGATTTATTAATTTACATAGGCTTGCAATTAAATTTCCATTAGAAAGGTTTAACTATATTGGGATTGATCCTGAGAACAATTTATTAGATTCAGAGGCTGGTGAGGTAATCAATTAATAACTTTGATTATATTATATTTATATTTATATTCAGAATCAACTAAAATATATATTATATATAAGAATATAAATTCTTTGATACCATTTCAAAAAGACTTATATGGATGTCATGATAAATTACAGAAGAAAAAATTATTGAGAAATCCATTTAGAAGAAGGTAAAAGTTTAAAAATTATATATTTATTTATAATTTAATAATAATAGTTATTATTTATATTTAATTATTATCATAAATGATTCATTGCTTCAATTTTTTTATAATAGTCATTCATATCATATTACAAATCCAAAACTTTCATCTTTATTAAATTATTGTCCAAAAAATTATTCAAATTTATTTTTCTACAAATTACCTTGGGAATAAATAATAATATATAATAGATAGAATAATAAATCAACAATATCAAATAAATAAATAATGAAATTTACAATCTTAATAAAAAAAAAAGTAATTTACAAAAAAAAATAATATTAGTAATAATAAAAATTTAAAATTTTATGTATTATAATAAGATGGACAAGGATTATTTATATTTGGTGAATAGACTTGATTATATTGAGCTGATGGTGGATAAAAATTATTTTGTGGTGGTGGAGGCTGTTGTTGCTGTGGGGGGTAACCTCCTAAATAATTATTTTGTGGTTGTTGATATTGATAAGTTCCAAAAGTCGGATTACCAGTTGGAGCAGGATTAGGATTTGGAATAGGGATAGGAATAGGAAATGATTCATTAAGTATTGATGAATTAGATCTTACTGTTGATGTTGGTGATTGTGATGAAAAATTTTGGGAATAACCACCATTTTGAAAAGAATTATTATTTGGAGGATAATTTTGTGAGGTTTGAGGATATTGGCCATTATTATTATTATTATTAAGTAACAATGATTGCTGTTGTTGAATAGATGGCGGTGAAATATATTGAATATATTGCATAGGGTTTTGTTGTTGTGGTTGTGGTGGCAGTGATGATCTCAAATTCATTGGTGGATAGGTTGGTGATGTATTAGTTGGATAAGTTGGATTATTTAATGAAATTGGTACATATTGATTATTAATGATTGGTGGAGGATATTGATTATTGATATTAGTATGAATATACTGATTACTATTATAATTAAGTGGAGAAGAGTATTGGTTATTGTCAAATTGAAGAGGATATTGATTGCTGTTATTGTTATTAATTTGGGGAAAATGTTGATTGTTGTTATTGTTATTAATTTGGGGAATATATTGATTGCTATTATTAGTATTATTAGTATTGATTTGAAGAGGATATTGATTGTTGTTGTTAATATTATTGTTTGGAGGAATAGATGGAATGCTATTATTATTGTTCAATGATGATGAAATATATTGAGTGCTATTCATTAAAGGAACAGGTTGATTACTATAATTGTTATTGATTAAAGGTTGAGATGTTGTTGGTTGATCAATAGAGGGTGGTGGTGATGGTGATGGCGATGGTGATGGCGATGGCGATGGCGATGGCGATGGTGATGGTCCTTTTTTTTTAAAAGATTTGTATTGTGGTGGTGCTGAAACTCCTGTTGTGTAAAATGTCATTTCAAGACGAATTTCTCCTACATATTTATTACGATATCTAATTTCATGCCACTCTAATAATAAATCAAAGAAAATTTTATAAATATATAATAAATATATATAATATGTGACAATTTAACAATTACCATCCCATTCACCATTAGTGAGGACTTTATCTAGATCAATAGTTGTGTCTCCAATAAGTTTATCACTAAAAACTTTAACTATCATCTTTTTGTGGTGTGAAACATCGAAAAGCTCAAAACGAACTTCTTTATCCCATTCTGGACGCTGCCCTCCTTTTTTATGTGGTGGTATTTTTTCTTCTTTATCTCCTATACGAAATGTTGCATAAGGATTTCCTTTACCAAATACTTCACGAGATATTAAATTTCTCTTTTAAAAAAATAGGTTTTTTAGATTGTGAAAATCAAAATAAATTTTAATATTAACAAAGAAAGATAACTTACAGCTCTTACAGCTATAACTACAAGTGTTCCTAATTTCTTTGCAGACATTTTTGTATTATAAAAAAATTTTTTTTTAATGGGTAAAATGTAGATTAAGACTGATATTTATTTAGCATAGCAGGAGACCTTAACATAACGGAATTTTCAAATGTCGATTCATTTTCCAAAAATTGTTACACAATTACTACAATAATCATCCTATTAAAAAAAATTTTTTTTCCATAGGCACGTAAATTTCAAGTTTCTTTATCATACTCCATGTCCTGATCAAACCTGATCAAACGTTTTCCAATAGCAATATTATGAATGAATTTTATAATAAAGAGGTTTAGAATATATATAATAATAATATATGTATATATTTTAATAACATGTACGGAATTTAAACATTAAAAAGAATCAGCAAACTTAACAGTATATAAAAGAAACAAGGAACCTGATAATATTACAGGTAAGTTAAATTAAAAATATTATTTACAAATTCAATTTTTACAAAAAATTAAGAATTGAACTTAAAAAGTTAACTTTTTTTTTGGTATAATATGAAACTGTTTAGAGGTAAATGCAACATGTCATTTTTATCATTTTAAATAATATAACACATATAACATAATATGTAGATGGGCATATTGCTAAATATTTATTACTACATAGGTAGACTCGATAAGTCGGCTTTGGCCTAACTCGGCCAAAATTTGTCAGCCCTTTTTTTCCCTATTTAAAATCCCTTGATAAGTCAGCCAACCTATATAAAGTCGCGTTAAGTTGTAAGTCAGCCAATCCCTCTTTTTAGGATAAGTCATCCTCACGTGACATTTTCATCAAATAAAAGATCATCATTACTACTTTTAGTAACGTATGATTTTTTTTTATTTATTTATAGAAATTTTATGACTTGTCACGATATTTTATTAATTCATTTTTGTATCATCATTGATTGTATAATAATAATTTATTGCCTGATAATTTAGAAAGAATATTCTTGTTTGTATTGCGCAAAATACATTTATTTATTTAGAAAAAAAATTTTTTTCTGTTTTATTATTTATTTTGTTAATTTTATAATAATAAAATTCAAAAAAAAAATATGTCACGTGCTCTCTCTGTAAGACAGTCTCGATAAGTCAGCCAAACATACTCAGCCATTCGCGGCTGACTTATCGAGTTTACCTATGTATAAATTCATCAAAATAGAAGATTTCTTTTAAAGATTAAATTGCCTCGAACGTAATTGGCGCATTAAAAGCATAACATGCGAATAAGAACGAAATAGTAATGGGAATAATAAAATCATTCTCACGTGTATGTATTAATATTGAATTTTTTAATTCTGTTCACATTATACAGTTATTATTATTGTATACGATTGATAAAAATCAAAACAAAATTTTGCCTAATAAAAATCTGGCCAATAAACTTAATTAAATTTGTCGATAAATAAAACGAATTTTTGTTATAATAATAACGAAGTTTTTATAGTTTCCTCATTTTATTAATAAAATCAACTCAATAAGACGAATGTTTCTATTGTTTCACTTAAATGATTAAGATATGGTTCCACATATATTAAATATAACTTGATAAGACGAATAATATCGCTTTACAGTCAAACCTTGTCACAGCGGATGAACGGGACATATAAGAAAATTTATTTAAAATCCGTTGTGGCAAGATTACTAATCTTGCCACAACGGATTTTTATATGTTTTTATATGTGAAGTAAGAATTTTAAAAATCCGCCATGACAAGAATTTAATTATAATCCGCTGTGACAAGGTTTGACTGTATCATGGAGCGCCGAACAGGTCAAAAGGTTAAGTAAATGTCACAATTAACTATGGCATTTACTTAACCTTTGACCTGTTCGGCGCGCCACCTAAAGAAACTTCGCTTTATGTATAATTTTATAAATGATTTACCATAGTACAACATAGAGGTCTGCACGGGTCATCATAATTGAATGGTTACCCAACCCAAATTCGTATAATGATAATAAAAATTGGGACTCGATTCTCAGTTCGTTATAGAGTGTGGACCGTTATAAAGAGTGTGACCTGTATTGACGTTTATAGATGACGTGCACCATAACATTTTTTAACTCGAATTTTTTTTTTATATATTTAATACTGTAATATGTAGTATGGTTAGATAATTCTATGAGAGATCTTTCTATAAATCAGCAAAAGCAGAAAACAGCTATTTTAACTTTCCTCGAAATAAACATTTATTATTATATATAACGTTAATAACATTTTTTTTTACTCAGTTTTTTCATATATTTAATACAGTGCGGATCATCTATACTCAAAAGTTAAAATTTTTGAAATATTATAGGATCCACACATTGGATTTTTAAAAAACCCACCACCATTCAATTCAATTTTGAAAAGGGTGTCTATTAATCTAAAAAAAAATTTGTCTCAAATTTTCTTTTCATAGATTTTTTAAAGTGCAACAATAATTTTCGTGTTTTGAATCTCACGACTAAATTTGGTAATGATTTTCTTTTAATGTAATATGTTCGTTACTTTTTTTTGTTGTAAAGAACTTTTATTATTAATAAAAAAAAAAAAAAAGGAAATAAATAAATCAAATGCATGTTGTAGAAAATATTCTATGAAAAAAAAAAGTTGTTCGTGTGGGCGGATTTGATTGACTCATTTCAATAAGTAAATTATGTGATACCTTGATAAAAATGTTATTTAACATATGATTATCCTATTAATTTTACCACAGAAATTTTTTTTCATTTCATTGCGACCAGAGTTAAGTTGGAGTTAAATCGGTTTTAAAATTGATTTTAAATTGGTTCTTACATTGCTTTAAAAGTCTTTTTTGAACTTTAATTTCCAAAACGACATAAGTAAAAACAATATTTTTATTAAAAAAAATAATAAAATACTTTATTTGAGATGTTTTATATAACTATTTATAATACATATACACTGCCCTCCAAAAAGTATTCGGACGATGTTTTTCGATGATTACGCAAAATTCCACATAACGAAAGTGCATAAAATTTGTGTCATTGTATGGCTTAGTTCTGACGATTCTACATATAAATTATAAAATTTTATTTTAATGGTGATCATTTCAAATTTTTTAATTTTTTAAAAAAAATATCAATATTCCGTTGGCCACCCGTTATTAGAAATACATGCTTCAATCCTTCTCGGCATACTTTCAATAAGGTTATTTAATACACTTTGAGGGATTTGAGACCATTATTCTTGCATTTTTTGGATAATTTTCTCGTCTTTTCAGTCTCTGTTCCAATTCACTCCATAAATGCTCAATTGGATTAAGATCGGGTGATTGAGATGGCCAATCAGATAATACATTTCTTTTCTTTTCTTTTATCCAATTTTGTATGTTTCTTGCTATATGTACTGGTGCATTGTCATCTTGAAATTTGTAACCTCTACTACGAAATTGTATTGTGATCAATGGAACCAGATTTTTATCCAAAAATTTCAATATAATCCCTATGGTTCATCTTTCCGTCCAACTTAACCAAAGGTCCCAACCCTTTACCAGAAAAACATCCCCACACCATTACACTACCACCACCATGTTTAACAGTTGGCCTAATATTCTTAATTTTGTAACATTCACCATCTTTTCGCCAAACTCGAGTTGGACCATCACTTCTAAAAATTTTGAAACGTGACTCATCACTCCAAATAATTGCTTTCCATTGTCTTACTGTCCAATTTCTTCTTTGCATACACCACTTCAACCTGTTCTCTCTTTGTTGACTTTTTAACAAGGGCTTGTTTGCAGCAATTTTGGAAAAAATCCCAAGTTCATGTAAATTTGTGCGAATTGTATCTTTTGATACCTTAACACCACCATTAACTTCTGCAAACCATTTTTGAATTTCCTCTAAAGAACTACAGTTTTCTTTTAATGCAATTTCTTTTAAAATTTTTTGATCTTCAACTTTCAACAACTTTGGGCGGCCACTTCTTGGTGCACTTTTTAAATTCTCTACATTCTCATAATGTTTGATAGTATCATGAACTGTAGACTTTGGAATATTAAATGTCTTTGCAATTTTTGCAAGAGAACTACTACTTATTCTTACGCCTAAAATTTTTCCTCGTTCAACTTCAGTTAATTCTGAATTTTTCTTTTTTGCCATTTTTAAAAATCAAAAAAAATTTTCGTGATTTTTTTTTTTTGATCTAATCAATTTTATTGGTACTCAGTTTATTTGAATAACAAAACTTTCACACGTGACAAGAACATGAAGTTTTAGTCATTTTTTTATGAGAACCTAAAATACAAACTGTTAAATTTTAATTTTATGATATAAAATTTCGAGAAACATAAAATTATTGAAAAATCACAAAAATAAGCCTCGCGATTTATTTGGTGTTCATTTTTTTTTAATTAAAAATCATAAAGGAATGGTCGAAAAATGAGATTTTATATGTATAATCGTCAGAACTAAGCCATATAATGACATAAATTTTATGTACTTTCGTTATGTGGAATTTTTGCGTAATCATCGAAAAACATCGTCCGAATACTTTTTGGAGGGCATGTATAATAATTCATATTAAGTTCATTTTTTCTATAACGAAATATAATGATCTATCAATCCTATATGTATTTTTTCACCATTACTATGGTAATAGAGAGATATATGTTGTAGAGAAAAATTAATAATAATAATAATAAAAGAATTTTGTTATAGCGAGACATTATTTAATATTATTATATAGATAGGGAGAGTGAAGTTTTTTTCTCTTTTTCTCGGGATAATATATTTTTTAGAGTTATTTATATGATATAAGGAATAAAAATAATTATAATCTTACTTTTTTGCGTTTATAGTGACAATAATAATAATAAAATTATTAAATTGTCACATTTCTGAAGTGTGACAAAATTGAATGCGAGTCAAATCGCATATGACACGAAATTTACTTGGTCTCTCAAGTGTATATATAACAAATTCGGAATTTTCAAAATGCTAAGGCTCGGCCAATTTTCAGTTTAGGAAAAAACCAGCCGATAAGTTTTGAAGCTTGAGTCATGAACAATAAAACTTATCGGTTAAATTTTTTAAAATGATATAATTTTTTTTGTTTTATATAGTATTTTGAAGTTACTATTTACTATAAGCAATTAATGATTATAGATGATCTGCACCGTATGCAGATAATTCAATTAGAGAGCTTTCTAGAACCAGCAAAAGCAGAAAACAGCTATTTTAACTTTCCTCAAAATATGCAGACAAAGAAATACATGGATGGTAGTGGTATAATTATAGTAGTACAACATAATGTTATTTAATATACTTTCTTCTTATTTATTATTCTAATTATTTAATGCATTTCTGGATTCGTCTCCAATTGAAAAGATCCACCTGTATGTTAAGTAAATTCGATGGCTTATTACATTACACACTGTATTAAGGTTAATTTTTCATATTTAATATTAACTATTAATTATTTGATCTTACTCTTTATTATATGCTCATCTTGTTCCTGTATTTTTAGTGATTCAAACCCCCCTGTAATCGGATGATAACTTAGAGTTGGTGAATAAATATGTGGCGAAAATTGTATTTTTTATATTTAAATCATTTTTACACGATATCATTATTTACTGCATACTGATAATGATCTTATCATTATATTTTAGATGATTTGATTTGAACAAAAATTAAACAAAAAACATATTGGAGTCGGTGAATAAATATGTATTTTTTATATTTAACTGTTTATGAAATCATTTTTTCATGACATTATTATTAATTGCATACATTATATTTATATCTTATAATATTTAATATTTATTAAATCACATTGTTTTTTTTATTACATACTATCTTGTTATATTTTCAGATGATCCAATACATCAAGCCTCAATTAAAGAGTTGGCAGATAAATATGAGGAGAAGACTACAATCTTATATTTGATTATTAATTGTTTCACACATTCATACTATAACATGAAGTCGAAATGATCAAAATTATGCCATATCACATGAGAACCAGTGATCCAACTTTAATGAAACACGGCTTATTCGAATAGTCTCATAAAGACAATTCGAATAATGGTGTTTTAATGTTCATAGCATCAATAAATGATGAGATATATAGTAAACAAAAATATCTCACTAATAAGTGATCTAAATTTTATAAATTAGACACCTCATTGAGAGAATTTGAATGATAGTTGTTTTATCTAAAACAGCCAGATATTGACCGAGTTATGGCAGTTTAAAGTTTTTCAACCATTTCGACTTTTAATTTCAACTTTTGACCGCTTTAATTTTTATTTGTATTTTATTAAAAAAATAAAAATTTTTATTTTTATAATTTTCAATAACTAAAAAAATACGTTTTACCATTAAACAAAATACGTTTTATTCAGTATTATTCCCGTATTAGTATTAGTATTAGTAACTTTTGATACTAATATTAATACAAAATTTGCATATTACAATACTTTCCGTACCAATAATAGTAATACTGATACTAATACGTGTTGTTTATTATCTAAAATTCCGTATTTTCCATACTAATACTAATACGGTTTATTCCGTATCTTTTCCGTGTTTTATTTTTTTTATAGTAATAGGCCCTTGACAGAGTTAATTTTGCAGTTTACTTTCCTACAATTGCGTCTTGTGTGTGCCCTTTAGAAAAGGAAATCTTATGACTAAGTGAATAAATAGTAATAGCTAACATATGGATAACAACAACATATTAATATTCTGTACGACATTATAACGTTTGTATACATTAATATTAGTTAGTAATAATAAACCGTGACGATCAGTTCAGATCCCTGGAAAAAAACATTCAATGATAGTAATAGTAGTAATAAAAAGCTTGGTGTACAAAGAAGTTAACATGTAATTTATTAAATGCATCCTTTTTACAAATTAAATTGTTGTATTCCTTTATTATTATTATTATTATAATTATTAAATCAATGATTGGGCATGTGTCTATTCCATTTTTGCAAGAATGAAAATCAACAACGACGAAATATTAATAATAATAAACAAATATAAAATACTTTTTCAAGAAAATATTTAAATACAATTAAAAATTCATTTCCAGGAAAATTATTTTCTTTCCTTTTTATATATAAAAAAATTTTTTTTAATTAAAAATTAAAAATACCATTCCTCTCATTTAATAATCATCAATCAATTAAAGAAGAAACCATGAAATTAATAAAATGCTTTACATTTAATTTATTACTTATTGTTATAACTTTAACATCAGCTCAATCACAATTTTCGAAAATTTCTGATGCATGTACCCAGGTATTAACACCACTGATAAGTAACAAAGAACTTAATGCTTGTATACCACTTGCATCGTTAGCACCCTCTGGTAAAAATGATACCTATGGCACATTAGTTAAAGGAGCTGATAAACTGTGTGCTGCTGATAAATGTTCTGACAATTTAATCACAACCATTCAGAACAACATTGAAAAAGGATGTACAACTGACTTGACAAACCAAGTTCCAGAAGTATTGGCAATTGATTTTCTCTTCACCTATTATTCACCAATTAGAGATTCAGCATGTCTCAAAAATTCAACTAATGGATATTGTTTTATTGAAACTATTGATAAGTTAAAAAATTATGAGAAAAATATTACTAATGTCAATTCATTTGATTCAGCATTGGATAGTTTTAACCAGCTGCCAACAGATGTTGTTTGTACAACTTGCAATAAAGCAATTGCAAACACTTTTTTCAATTATCAAGATGCTAATCCTGATAGGACTAAACGATTTGCCACTCCAGTAGCTAGCGTTAAATCCATTTTGGGAAATAAATGTGGTGCAGACTTTACAAGTAAGTGATCTTTTGGAGGAAGACAAATGAGGAGTGAGAGTTAATTTTATAATAATCTCTAATCTAATCATTATTATTATTTTTTTAGATGGAAAAGTTCCAAAGACAAGTTCATCAAATATTATTAAATTAGATTTTGCATTATTATTATTCATCAATTCATCAGCTTTGATTTTATTATTTTCTAAAATATTTTAAATAGATTTAATTTATTTAATTGTTCCAATATATAAATATATAATAAACATTGTTAATCAAGATGAGTACTAAATAAATTCTGGTGAGAGAGAAGGATATTCTTGAGACTTAGCTCCTTGGAAAAACCATCCAATAATAGTTGTGAGTGACGTGAGATATTTATCATTCTTAAACATAACATGAATTTATGAATTTATCTATATTAAATGGATGTCACGCATTAGTTTCATGATTAATATTTACTAATACTGAAAAAAAAAAGGAAACCGGAAATTCCGTCCCTGCTTAGAACTGTTGTTCATAAGAAATTTGCCTGGAAGAAAATATCCGAACCACGTTTTTAACTAATAAAAAAAAATTAAAAATATTATCATCATGTAGCTTATGTTCTAACTAATATGTATGTAAAAACCTCACATTTCTATTATTTATAATAATTTTCAAACCAAAGGAAAACAAACTTCAATTAAATTTGTTCTAAGAAAACTTTGTGCTTTTATCATTGGTAGAAAATTTGTTATTAAAAACAAAAAAAAAATGCCAAAAAAATTCGGAATAGCTGAACATGGAAAACCTTTGGGTCATAAATTAGGTGGCAGCATTCTTAATAAAATTGTAAAGATGCTTAAACTTCCAAAAATCACAGTTTATGATATCATTAGACATTATAAAAATGCCGAAAACTTAAAGTGGTCATCCCAATGCGTTAAATGTTAGTGAACAAAAAACTTTAAAAAAAATCGCACTAAAAACAATTGCAATTCTGCGGAAGAGATTCAAAGAAAATTTATTGGATTCAATGGTGTTGAAGTGTCAGTTAAAACAATTCGTAAAATTTGGTTTTTAGATGATTAATCGAAGTTCGTTTTTCTTTAGTTGAAAAATTAATATATTTAGCAGAAACGTGAAAATTTTACATGCATACACATTCATGAGAACATAATAATAAGTTACATGAAAATTTGCGGGATTAATAAAAGACGTAAACATTATCTTATCTCCAATAATTAATATTAGACAAGATTTAGTACTTTCTTCTATGACATTCCTTAGCAAACAAAAATTGACAAATAATAAAATAAACAGGCTACAGTTCACTCTCTCTATAACGAACACTAAGTAAAATCTATATAACGAACTTCCCTTTTTGTCCCTGATTCTTTTTTTTTTTTAATTAATTTCTCCCTCCATAACGGACATCTTAGTAAACACACTTTATAATGAAAAAAGGCACATATATGGGTGGAAGGTTCATTGTAGAGAGAATGAACTGTATATTTTCACAAAATACCAAGTAAAATTACAGGAAACTCTCACGTTTTTGTTTAAAGTAAAAAGAAAATTATGATATAACTTCCACAAAGAATAGGTATATAGAACAAATAGTATATATAGAGTAGATGGAGACATATTGTTATCTTGTTATTTGACTTCTACTACCATCCTCAACTCATCTCATACTTCACTGATATTAGAGTTTTCAGTAGGACATCCATGCAACATCCTACAATAAAAAGTGAAATAAATGTATTAATATTTCAATTTAACAATGGAAGCATGTAATTTTACAAAAAAAATAGCATCTAACACTTAAATATACACATTACAAATGCTTATTATTATTGCTAATACATATTGATGTACAGATCATACAGATCATAGGTGGTGAGTTTTGTTGTTCTTTTTAGTTTAATTGGATATTTAAGAATAATAAAAATGCATATAACTAGTAATATGCTTGACAAATATCATCCATCTTCTAATGGTCTGGACCTTATCTTTAAGCAAGATATTTAAAAAAGTTATTTATCAAAGTTTAATTAAATAAATATCAAACCTGTTGTTTCAAATTATTTTTCTTGTTTTTACACTAAACATTATAAAATTTTGTTTTAGTCATCATCATCCACCTTTATATCTAATAATAATTCGGATCTTCTGGTGTTTTTAAAACTCTCAGTTAAGGTTTCTGGTCCAAACTGTTTTCTCAAAGCCCAAACTAGTTTGGGCAATTTGGGCTTCTCAATATTTTTTTAAACATGAACATTAAAAAACTATACCAATCAACTTATTTTAACTAAAGTAATTTCGCCCAATTTCGGCTAATAACAAAAAATAGTTTGAGCTTATAAAAAAAGTAATTTTTGCCCAAAGTGTTTTGGCAATTTCGGCTACTAATTGAGAGAGTTTCGGCCGGAAACCTTACTCTCAATTGAAGAGCAGCACCTTTATCTATAAGTAAAATCATTATTTCAAACTATCTTATATATGAAATTAATAAATATGTGTATTTATATATTTATTATAGTTTGTATTATAAATTGTTTTATATGTAAATATATTATAGGGAATATGTACAAATGCATGGTTTTATCAATTTTACAAAATATTCATCAATAAAATATCTAGATAAAAAAAACTAAAGATATATTAGCTATTATTAAAATGTTATTATTATAATTATTAATCTAAATAATATAAATCTATATATAATATTTTGTAAAATGTATCATCAAACTAATTAATGTTAATATTATTCTAATGGTTATTGTTGCTATTATTCTTCTTGTACCTATTCTTGTTGGTTGAATGCAATTTTATTGTTTTCAAAGAATTCTCTTAGGTTTGAACCACTACCACCTGTTATAAGTTCGAGATCTCTTGTTACTTGTAATTTACGAGAAATTCCCAAATAACCTTGCAAACCCCATAATTCCAACAAATAAGCAGCTAGTTTGTCATCAGCAGTCAAGTCCATTAATACTTGCCTTAATTGATTGACAGGCATCAATTTTATCTTAATATCGCAACCGAGACCTAATGATGCTTTTGATCCAATTTCATCAATAGTGAGTAAGTTTGGGCCGGTTATTTTGTACTCCTTCCCTCCATGCCTTTGTGTAGGACAGTAAAGTATGTGACAGCATGATCTAGCAACATCGTTGATATCACAACATTCAAAAGTCATTTGTGGATTGTCTATCAGTGGGATTGTTGATTGTTCAATAATATATTTGGCAAAGTATAATAAATGTTGATGCAATACACCAGGATATCTTAATATTGTGATTTGTGATGGTTGAAAAGTTTCCTTGAGCAAAGATTCAATAGATTCAAATTGACTTCTATAAGATCTATTCTTATTATTAATTATTTCATTATCATTATCATTCTCTTCTTCAATCGGTGTAAGTGGTGGTGAGTATGGTGTATCCAATTTGGTGAATGGTGTTGGAAATACAATATGTTCAACGTTTGCTTCTTTTGCAGCATTTATATAGCTAAAATAATAATAATTGTTTGATTATTATGCTATTATTTGAAAATAAAAGAATTCTTATCCCCCAAAAATTTATATTTACCCTTTTGCAAATGTAAATGCATCATTACGAGTGATTTCACCACCAAGTGGATCAACCAACAATAATAATTTGGACACATTATTTAAAGCATGTATTACGGCTTCTGGTTTATTTACTGGATCAACCTCTACTGCAATAGTCCCTTTCTTCTCTAATATAGTAGAAGATCGAATTGTTTGATGACTTATCCCAGCATATACTGATATTTTTTGTAAATGTAGGTAAAGATTTTGCATTTCTACAAGACTATCTACTATAGAAGAACCTAATAAACAATTTATAATTTATTGTTAATAAAACTATTATTGCGAGAGTGCTAAAATCAATTTTATATAAAACTAACCAATTCGACTATCTGCTCCTGTAACGTAAATTGCATTCTTGAACTGCATTTTTTTATAATTATTGTTATTTTATTATTTTAAGAATGATTTATCTATTTATATATATGTAAAAATTTTTTTGATTGGTTGTATCAATCACAACAAAAATATTATCTAGATGAGTTATTTATTTTAATACACGTTTTTTTTACGCCATTTAAATTGCTTTATATAAAATTTTGATTAGATAACATTGTAAAAAATCAATCATTTGATCTTATCTTATAAATTATCAATTTGGTGTTCACCGAAATCGATCAATGAATGATGCAAATTAATTAAATTAATTGAATTATTTTTTTTATTGGTTAATTGGTTACTACAAATCTCAATAAGAACAGATACGAATAAAATTTAAAAAATATCTTTGCAGCATTTATTTATATTATCTATATAGTGGAAAGATGAATAAAAATTATTATTCTTTATGTTAAACCGAATAATCCTACCCTTCCAAAGTTCTATTTCACTTTTTACATTAACCATTACTCAAAAAATAAATAGATGATAAGGTAAAGAAAGATGCACAAGCATCAACTTTTTGTTGCTGTTTCATTTACAATAACTCTCTATTTACAACAGACTTTCTATAAATGAAGTCACACTATAATCAACTTAATAAACTCTCTTTAGCAAACAGAGGCACAGAAATGGAAGGTTTGTTATAGAAAGAATGAACTGTATAATCTTTGAACATTAAAAATGTTTAAGGTTAGAAGCCTCCATTAGACCTAATATTCGTTAATTACCGGTGGATACACCCACTATATTTGGGGCATGATTCCTCATTTTTTTATTAAGCAACAGGGTTCACTAGTAATGCAATCCAATTTCATGACTTTGTGTCACTAAATGCTTTCATAAAATGCAAGTTGAGGTTCCAGATTATGATAAAATAATCAAAGAACTTGCAGAAATATATAAGAATAAAATGAATGTACCTGCTGACAATTTTGAGAAGATGACATTAAGCCTTGAGGAAGCATTAAAGGTCTTGAAACTGTACGTTCATTTTTATTACAGCAAGAAAAATAATGCTATATACAAACAAATAAAATTGGTTAATAAAATATCAATATAAAAAAAGTGAATTCATATTGTGTATCATTTGTAACCAATGAAATTGCTTCTCTCCGTAAATACACGCTGTCCCTTGGTCCCAAGGGGGGCGCATTTATGGGGAGGTCTGACTGTATATATTTTAAAATATATTTATTTTGATAACACAGTGTACCACATATGACATAACCACATGAAATCAATCTCGAAATTTTTAGTTCTCTTACATTTGCTAATATCTGTAGACTGACAACAGTTTCAAAAAGATGGCGGGAGTATATCATATCAATGAAAAGATTATGGTAAGATTTGGATTTTCGTGTGAATAGCAATGTCAAAATAACCGACAAACTTGTTAAATTTGTATGTGCAACATGTACAACATGAAAAAATAACAATTAGAAGGATATTTTTTGGTGAATCACCAAAATTAACTGATTGTTCATTAAAAGTACTCAGGAAAACAATGTGCCATCAACTGACAAGTTTAGAATTGATGTCAAATACATTAATAAGTGATACAGAAATTTGTGTGTTTATACATACTACTGGTCTTAACCTAAAGCATCTAAATTTGTCAGATACAAGTGTTGGCAATAGAACAGTTCGAAAAATATTGACAACATGTTCAAAATTAGAAACATTGGATCTATCAAGTTATAATGGTGTCACCACCGAGGCATTTGATCCTAGTGATTTGCAATGTAAAGCTACTGGAGTTGCTTCAATTAATTTATCTGGATGTGAAATGGTAGAATATTCAGTAATTAATTATTTGGTTGGATTATTCCCAAAGATCATCCAACATGATCTGAAATGTAATTCAGTAATCACACCAGAAGTATTTTCAAAATTAACTAATTATCCTGAATTGAAAAGAGTTGCTTTATTTTAACACACAAATAATTCTGCAGCAAGTTTTGAAAAAGAATTTAATAGTTTTACAACAACTTGTGTAAACTTGCATGAATTTACCTTAATCAATTGCTCAGAAATGCCTGATTATTGTATTGAATGTTTAGTTAAGTCATGCAAAAACTTGTAAATATTGGATCTTAGTGATTGCAATCAATTGACAAACCAAGCATTGAACATAATATCAATTTTGGTGAGAAAATTTTGAGATTTGGTTCGATAGGGATTGATGATGGTGTAACATTCTTGTGTAAATCAAGATTATCCAAAAAATTAGAAGAAATTGATTTTCATGAAAATTCAAATATAACAGATAAATCTGAGAATTATGGGAAATTTTTTTGTCAATTTGAGATTGGTAAATCTCAAATCATGTTGCAATATAACAGGAAGTGGTGTAGGTTTTTTTGTATAAAAATGCCAAAAAACTTTAAAAGAACTTGTATTAAATGGATGTAATAATGTTCCACCAGATGCTAATGATCTTTCAAGAAAATTATTAAGTTTAAACGGGGGAAAAGTTTTTTACGAATTTCGTGAACGATAAACAAGGAATGATTATTTGGTTTATTAATTATTTAATGACCATACTTTAGATTAATTTCTCGGCTATTATTGAAATTTTTTAATAAATAACATGTGCTGATAATTATGTAAATTATATAAATCATGAAAAAGAATCTTTTTGTTGATAAAGATTTAAATGGTCTTATTGAAAAAACAATAACTCTCTGCTATTAAATATAAATATGATGATGAATGATATTTCTATTATCTACATTGATTTTAAATAAATAAATAAACATGTAAATATAAATATATTACAATATAAATATTAAACTATACTATTAAATGTTTAAATAAAATAAAATAATTTATGATGTAGAACATAAAATTTAATAGTAAATAATAAAAGATGTGCTTTACGACTTTATTTTGTAGTGGTGGTGACATTAAATCAAAGGAATGGAACCTCCATATGTATATGTTCCGTTAATTCTTGTCTCATAGTAGAATCGTCACCCTTTAACAATGATCTTCTGCATGTAGGACATGAACCGTGATGCTCTAACCATGATCTAAGGCATGAACTTTTAAATTAAAATATTATTAAAACTTTTTTATTAAGACAAAAAGGAACAAATTTGAACTAAAATTTATCAATACATACAAGTGAAACATATGTCCGCAAGGTAATTTTTTGGCTGATACCATTGAATCTCTACATATTGCACAATCATCATTATATTCTTTTAATTCAATTTCAGTTGCACTTGGATATCTAAATGAGCGTTATTAATAATGTGTATAAATTTTGGATAAAATTAACCTAATTGATTGCCAATTAACATAAAAAATCAGATTACCTAGTTTGCATATTAGAAATAGCTTGTCTATAATTATAATATGAAACAACTTTCTTCCTTAAATTATTGAAAACACTTCTCATATTTAAAAATAACACTGCATCTATCAAAGTAAATGAAATACCATGCAAAAGCTATGGAGTTAATGAAAAAAAAAAGACCAAAAATTAATTAAAAGTAAATTAAGCAATGTAAAAATTTTGATGTAAAATTTTGTAAAAACAATACCATTATATGTAAATAATGGCCAAGAGTGGCAGCAAGTATCAGCGTATCTGTAACAAATTCTATGTAATATAAAACCAACCCTTTAGACTCCCATACACCTTGTTGAGAAAGATCTCTAAGATGAATTATATATTTCATCAATGTTTGAACAGTGTCTAAGAAAAGAGTAAAGCACTATAATATCATGAGAACACACACATTTATATGTATAAATATTTTATTTTTCTCTTGATCACTGGATTGATTAAAATTCAAATTTTACACTAACCTCAAAAGTTAATAATAGCAGCATTGAACGAACACATATAATAAACCAAATTATATCAACTATTAGGATTAGGATCAATAATGATAGAATACGTAAATGTGCTTGAATTGGAGTATTTGGAGAGAATGTAAGCTAAATAATATTGAGAAAAATTTAATCGATAATTTTTAAATCCAAAATTTTTTCATAATCAATCAATTGACTTAATTTTTCAAAATATTCACATATTCAAATCTGTCTCTACAAAGCATACTGAAAATTCTCAGGAAACCAAGAATTGTAAACCATGTTGTCCATATAAGCCACTCTTCCCATTTTGGTTCAAGTATTGCCCCCACGAAGACAACTTTAAATAAAAGAAAGTTAAGAAGTCTATCATACATATGCTAAATATATATATATATTATTATATGTTATAGATTAATAAATAAATAGTTCACAATAAATTAATTTATACCTCAACTTTTTTAGTAACAAACCTGACTTTCGATAGCTCTTAATTCTCCAAAAAAGAATTTTAATATCATCCTTCCAAGGAAAAATAAGGAATAATAAGCTATATTGATGAAAATCTAAAAAGTATTAAAAAAATAAACTTTTAACATCGTAAAGAATTTAATTAATTAAATCTTTGATAACACATAAACACATAAAAGTGTGTATATATATACCAAAACATATATTTTTTCTTTTTGTAAAAAACTTAATACAGAGTTAAGGAAAAGACTCATTGATCCAACAAAATTTTCTCAATGACAAATGTCTTTCATATTGATATAAATATATCAACAAATTTTTGTTGGCCATTTTTATTAAATGGCCCCATATTATGTTTCACAGACGGCAGGCAAAAAATCGATTACTATTATTATTTAAAAAATTTGCAACTTTCCTTAACTGGTGGATCACGAATTAACTAGTTATTAAATCTGTGTATTGAAAGTAAAAGAATTTTGAAATTTCTATGTATGCTAGCTACACTTATTATTTTAACCTTTAATCCCTGGAGGCCAAATGGTAAGCTCTTCTTTTTGTCTATGTAGACAAGAAAAAAAATTATATTTGGAGATTTTTCTCATGTGCACATAAAAAAAAGGAAAGTGCTCGATTGAACATTTCCCCGCCGATCACTAATTAAAATTCACCAAATATATGGAAAATTATGTTGAGCATGTCATGCGCACTAGCGAATAACCAATCAAATCAAAACATCCATCATATAATACCTTTGCACTTTTATCATTATTATTTTATTAAAAAAATGACGGAAAATAATAAAAAAAGAAAAATTTTTGAATCAGCAAGTTCCAACAATGACAAACCAAAAAACAAAAGAAAAGTTTTATCATGGGGCGAGAAAAAACAACTGTGTGAATTCTATCAAGAAAATCCTTCAATTACCTATAGAGAACTTGGTAAAAGGTTTGGTAATATAGCCGAGAACACTGTATGTGACATTTTGAAAAAAAAGGAGAAATGGTTGAAAGTGGACATGAGCTCGAACGATGCAATGAAACAAAAAGATAAAACTGCTAAATATCCTGAGCTTGAAAACGCCCTCATCCTATGGATGTCGCATGCTGCATCTGTCAACAAAAGTATCAAAGGTGATGTTATACTTGATAAAGCGAAAAGTTTTGCTCAATTATTGGGGATTAACGATTTCAAAGGGTCAAATGGTTGGGTATCAAATTTCAAGAAAAGACACAATCTAAAAAAATATAATAACAATAATTTAAAACGCAATAATATTAATATTAGCATTAATGATAATAATAATAATGATGACAACGGTACTAATAGTGATAGTGTAGGTAATGGTGTTAGTGTTGGTAATATAGTTAGAAACAGCGAAGTTATTCGCAGATCACCTGAAGAATTAATTAACCTCGAGAGAAAAAAATTACAAGATATTATTAAAAATTATCCACTTGAAGATGTCTTTAACTGTAACGAATTTGGTAAGATAAATTTTCTAAATTATTGTTTAATTTAAAATTAATATTTTTTTAATTTATTATTGAATTATTTCCTTTAGTGCTACATTGGGATTTAGATCCAATCAAATCCTTATTAAATAATGATAACTACAATGACAATTGTCATAATAATACAAGTATTAATGTTAATACTAATAATACTAATCACAATGATAATATTACAATTCAAACTGCCACAACCACCGTCGTTGGAGTTCCTGTTGGAGGTAGCATAGGAGAGAATGTGGAAGGCAGCGATATTGATAGTAGTACGGAAATCACAGAGATTGCTTCCAGTACAGGGATAAAAAAATCAAAAAATCGAGTAACAATTCTATTAACATCAAACGCAACAGGAACAATTAAACTACCAGCTCTTGTCATAAACAAATCCAAATCATCGTCCACAGACTTCAATGATATTGATAAATCAAATCTTCCTGTTAATTATTACAGTAATCACAATGATTGGATGCACATTTCAATCTGGAACGATTTTTTAATTAAATTAAATGAGGAAATGCAATTAAAAAATAAGCATATTCTTTTATTAGTTGACAATACTCCTGTACATATCATAGAAGATTCTACTGTTCTAACAAATGTAAAGGTTCATTATATTTCTACAAATACAATTAATCAATTACAACCTGCTAATATTGGTATTATTAATTCGTTTAAAGTATGTATTTATCATCATCATCATCATCATCATCATCATCATCATTATTATTATTGAATTTTTTATTTTTATTAAAAAAATTTTATTAAAAACTTTTTAAGGCAAATTACAGAAGATTTCTTCTAAAAAATAGAATAGACGCATATGAACTACATTCTAACCTCGGTATACCCGTAAATTCACCAAAAATTATAGAAGCCATTAAATTATGTTCCGAAGCATGGAATTTATTAAGTGTGGATATGATAAAAAATTGTTGGATCAAAACCAGAATTTTCCCCCAGACAGAATCATACTCCACTGAAAATCAAATTATTAATGCCGCCATATTCATTGATTGGTTTATTCAGCAAGAAGAAAATCATCTTCAATTAATAATTCATCAATTTAGTAAATTGGGTTTTACCGATTTGATGACTGCTCAGGAATATATCATGTTTGATAATGATATTTTAAATGATAATGATTTCATTGAAATCATGTTTGATCAAAAGCTTCACGATCATCATCATCATCACGAATTGCTACACAAACAGCAAAAGCAGTTACATTCAATAACTCCACCTATATCTGTAACACCAATTGCTTCTTCTTCTTCTTCTTCTTCACCATCAATAACAACAACCTTATCATCATCTTCTAAATTACCAATAAGAGAACAACAACAACAACCACCGTCACCAACAGCTATTACTGATGCATTGAATTCGATCAACACATTGATTTCATTCTTGCACAATCCACCAAATATTAATAATACTAGTAACAACAACAACAATATAATTCTTGATCCAAATTATCTTATCACACTAAATTCACTTCAACAACAAATCATTAAAAATTATTCACAATCAAAGAAACAAAGAAGATAGTATAAAATGGTAAATAATAATAAGAAATAATGATAACCTTTTGTATTTTATACTTTTTTTCATTCGTTCGTTTGTTTGCTTAACAGTTCATAAATAAATATATATGAAATTTATTTTTTTTAATAATTTTTAAAAAAATTAACATTAAAAAACCATTTTGCCATTATTATTGCCACCTTTTTTAGAACATGTAATTATGTGGTTGGGTGATTTTAAACAAAGTGAGAATGAAACAAAAAATAATGTTTGATTTTTGGATATTATTAGTAATTATTTTTTATATTTATTAACTTTAAGATATAGATGGATGATGGATGTTCGTTCAGTTTATTATTATTATATAGGTTTGATCTAATTAAAAAAGAATGGGAAATATTTACAATGAAATGATTTTTAATATATACACATAAATAGTTTATATTTATAAGATTAAAATCTTTAAAGTGTTTAGAAAAAATTAATGTTGAATTTTATATTTCATGATTGAAAATAAAATTATTTGAATTTAACATTTTTCATAAAATAGCATATATGCTTCTTCTAAGAGAACATGAGATAAACTGACTTCTTTAACACTTTCGTCAGAGAGATACCACCAGTTAACACTATCTTCACGTTTGCGATAAGTAACAAAATGGCCATTTCTATGGTCTCCTTGATGAACTATTACTGTCTTGAGTTGATATTTATTATCGTCATTAATTCCAGCCAAAACAGGTGATGCAATTGGTGAAGGAGATATTGGCGATGAAGGGGATAATGGTTCACTTGGCATTGTAGCAGAATATCCAATGGTTGTATATTTTGACATATCAACTATTTCAGAAAATTCAACCCGGCATGAATTTTTCAAAGAAATTCCGTTTGTAAGAAATATGGATCGTGATAGATGAATCACCAGTACTTGAGGAAGATTTGCAAAAATTGTTTGTTTAATTGCTGGTAATTTTTTATGAACGAGATTGACGACTTTTAGTTCATTGTCAATTTCTCTGTCTATATCTGTCTCAAGTGTCTTTGTGATCAAATCACGATCCTCAAGAAGTTTTTTGTCAATAACTTTAACTTTTGACAATTGATTTTCAATAGTTGATAATGTTTCTTGTAAACTACATCTTGGGCAATTATATTCGTTAATAAAATCTATTCCAACAAAGGTTCCAAGAAGTTTATCTAAAGTTGTTGAGTTTTCTCTTGGAAGTGGAATAGAAATATTATCAAATGTTGAATGTCTGATTGGACCAAAATATTCACACTTCATACAAGAAATTCGACAAGCTGTTAATCCAAAAAGAGGATTTTTTTCTCCGATTAATAATGGAATTTTTTCATTATTTGCCAGTAAACGTATCATTTCCAGATCTAAAAGCGATTTAGGACGTCGACTCATTTCATCTTCATAACTCAAAGATTGCAACAAAAGTTGGAATAGTTCATGTGCATCTTGTTGCTGTCTATTAACAATATGTCGAATTGTTTGATTGTTTTCCATGGCAAATACGACATCTGATGCAACAAAGGAGCGACGAAATTTTAAAGGTTGATTGAGCCTTTCAAGTGTTGTGTATAAAGCATTTGTAACAGGTCTTTCAGGATTTAAAGTTTTATTTCTTAAATATGTTAGAAATTTCTTCAAGGATGCAAGACCTTGAAGTACAGAGTTTAAAAAACATAAATTGTTTCCTTGATTGACCAAACCATGTACATAAGACTTTTCTGATTCTTTATGTTTGGATTTTTTCTTTTTTTTTATTCGATTACGTTTTTGTTTGTTTGAAGTTAAAGTAATGTATAATGTGGTGAATACAGCTACTGCTGCTAAAGCAGGTACAATGTACTGTTTGACCATACTTAATTTTTTGATTAGTAAAAAAATTTTTTTGATTGATCGATGGGCGTGACGTATAAAGCACCAAAGTGACCGAGATCATCTTCCAACACATGGGAGTCTGATCAGGAATTCCCCAATGATAATTTATGACCACATGACTTTT